TCCCTGCTTGGCCAGCAGGTGGAGCCAAGACCTAGCTGGGGATGAATATTTGTGTGTGTCTTTGTGATGGAGAGATTTGCTTGTCATCCACACACGAAGTGAGGCTACTGAGTGGTCATTGAGGGCAGAGCTGCCCCTTGGTAGCGGGTGTATGAAAGGGGGCTTTGGCTACCTAGTTTTTGTACTGGAACTCGTCTTTCTTGTCTGCCGGAATGGCAGAATGAATTGCCGGACAGAAAGTGCTGTAGCAAGTGTGGAGATGTGTTGAAGAAGAACAAGTCCAGACTGCCACGTAGGGAGGGTGAAAAGGGTCCCACTGGGTTCCTTTCCGTATGTCCTGTCAAGGGGGCAGATTGTGGTGCCTGCTATTCCCTCTGCTGGGTCCATATTCCCCTTGGAGGTGGCCTAAGACGTCCTGGGCTCCAAGGTTGACCCTCCCATGGGCCTCTTGAGGTTGTCCCCCCTCGTTCCCTGTGGGTTTTCTTCTTTTGCACCTGAATGGAGGGCTTCCTTGTGTTTATTTTGTAAATATTGACCTTTGTTGGCTATTTGCATTTCCGTTGTGTTATGCAAATGTAGCTGTTGGTGCTCCTTGTGTTATGGAGATGTGAGTGCCCCTGGCTTCCTTGTGTTGTGGCAATGTCCCTTCTGCCAGTGTGCGTCCCTGTGTTTTTTCCATGGACCCCCCTTGTCCGAAATGCCTAAGGCTGGCTCTATGCCCCCTGAAATAAATTTCTGCTTGACTGTGACCGCGTCCCAGCTCAGCTGGTGTTAAGGTAAAAGGGTGTCTTCCTGTTTGTCCTGTCCCCTGAGGCCCGCGTTCCCCAATCCATTGTGTTGTGTATTTTTTTTGCTCCCTCAGCCCAGTGTGTTCGAGCCGAGGCCAGCAGTCCCCAATGCCATGAGGAGCCGATTTTGTGGAGTGTGGAGGGTTCGTTTGTAGATGGGCCATGCAATTGTGTGATGTGTGAGGTGGCAGAGGCTTGTGTGTGAGTCGTTGAGAAAATGATGGGATTCCCATGTGAAGAATGTGAGGGTGTTTTCTTGGAAGGATGGATGGCGTTGGGGGGTGAGGTCCCTCGGCCATGTGAGGAGGGAGGGTCGGTGGCCTGCCCCCTCTCCCCCGCTATGCCCCTGTGTCCGTGCAGGCTTGAGTTTGTGAGCCCATGCCTCCCCCGGTGTTTGAACATCTTGGGTGAGTACCTGTGATGGGTTGGGTGGTGGATGTAAGCTTTGCACAATGAATTGCTCGCTGCCATTGGAAATGCTGGAATTCCCCATGCCCCCCCCCCCCATGTGGTTTGAATCGTAGGATTGAGTGTTGAGCTGGAGTCCGTGATGCCATGGAAGTGCGTTGAAGACTTTGTAGTAGGAGAAAGCAGATGGGATGTTTGTGGTCTGTTGATTCCTGGGTGTGTTGAATGTGTCGTTTCCAGGTTCGCATGAGTCACTGAGGGAAGTGGTGCTCTGCGGCCTCAGCAACGGAACAGGCCGAAAGCTCCCCCGTAAGGATGTCCTGAGAAGCCAACCCTTGAATTGCAAAGGAGTTTCTAGTTGTTGGTCATGTCCTTGGGCCATGTGTTCCCTGAGCAAGATGCATTTGCATGTGGATGCAGGCTTTTGTCCTTTTGTGTCTGAGCTTAGGTAGTTGTGAAATATCCTTGTCCCTTTGAATTTGCGTTTGTTCGTCCCCCTGAGGGCGCAGCCAGGGCCCCGTGTCTCGGAGCAGAACTGCCTGTATTGTTGTGCTTGTGTGAATGGTTGAGTCTGAAGTGTCCTGGAGCCACCTAAATTTATTTATTTTTTTTGCCGAAGATCAGAGGTTTCACCCACTTTGCTTTGTCCCTCCTCCCCCATGTCTCAGGCCTGGATTTGAAGTCATGCTTTGAGCTGTCCTCGTGTGATTTTCAATGCCTAAAACAAGTTCCTTTGTGTGTTTGGAGAGAGCAAGGGCAGCCTCGGGGTGCAAAGTCGTTGAGAGTAGTTGTGAGGATTTGGAAGGAGGAAGTGGCTGTGGGTATTTGAAAGGGCTGGTATTGTCCTTGCTGGGAAGGAAGGAAGGAAGGAAGGAAGGAGCGGAGGAGGTTTCTTTAGGACCAAGCCAAGGTTTGTGGTGCAGAAGGTATGTGTGTGTGGCGTGATTGTGTATGTGGACCCGCTGAGTCGTGTTGTTGAGATCCGCCAGAGGGTCCGTTTTCCTCCATCCAAGCCCCTTTTCCCTGAGTGTTCCTTGTGCATGTGGTTGAGCTGGTTCCCTGTCTTTGTTGTGGTTGTGTGTTTTTCATCATCCTTGTATGTATTTCTATCAGAATGGTCCTATGAGATAGGTTTCATGCTAAGATTGTTTCCTAGAGTGTGTGGTTTGTGTTTGTTGTTTGAAGGAGTTTTCATTGTGTGAGATCTGTGAACCATCAAGTGATGGCTAAGAGGTGTTGCTCTTTGCTGTGAGTGCAGAGTCGATGTGAGGGTGGAGGTGAGAGGTGGGGCTGTGTTTGAAGAAGTTGTCCAGTGTGCTTCCGAGGCCAAGCTGTGGTATTCCGTTTCGATGAGAAGGTCGGTGAGGCGAGCCATGAGGCGGATGTCAGTGTAAGTTGGAGTATGCAAGTGGTAGGGCGTGTTGGTGAGATGTGAGGTTTGGCCTGGGGCTCCGTGCTGGGGCCATGAGGTGAGTTTGTGCCGTTTTTTCGGTCCCGCCAGGCTGTGAGCGATGAGGCAGTGTGAGAGAGGTGTTGGGCAAGTCGTTTGTTTTGAAGTGATCTCCATGTCCTTTCCTTTGGAAGTAGTTGAGTGTTGTGTGGCATGGTTCCTATGGCAGGCAATGGCAAGTTTGTCCCTCTTTGATGATGCTGTAAGTGAGAGAGACAGGTGTTGTGTGAAGATGTGATTTTTTTGAGTGCATTTTTGATGGTAAGCGTTTTGTATGGTTGGGGAAGGAAGCTAGTCGCATTCGTGTGTGGCGTGTGATTTTGTTGTGCAGCCACTGTCATGTGGAGTTGAGCAGAAGGCATCCCTTTCCGAAGCCAAACAGGAGAGGCCATTGGAGAATTTGCCCAGAAATGTGTTTGCAAGGCGACGTTCCTTGCAAGCGCTGGGGTTCCCTGGTGCCAAAGGTTGATGGATCGGTGGATGGGCCATTGTTGACGGGATGAGGGTGGAGGCTTGTGACTGCCCGCAGGTATGGCCATGTGGGTGTGGCTGTGGAAAGGGCAGGCCGATGGTGGTGTGTGGCTGGAAGTTGTGTCTGTTTGGATGCTATTAGGTTTGCCATGGGGAGGAAGGGTGAGGTGTTGTGTTTGTTGAGGGAGCCGGCCCTTCTTTCGTGCCTTGTTTCCGTGGAGGTGTGTGTGCAGAGGGTCCAGCAGTGGCGTCGGTTGTTGTGTGGGACGGAGCCTGTCCGCTGGGGCGAGGTGCGTGTGGGCTGGGAGAGCGGGCTGAGTGTGGTGCTTGCCTGTGAGTCCTGATGGCAGGGACGTTTCTGAGGAGCCGAGCCAGGTCAGATTGTTGGTTGTTGAGTGATGTGAGGAAGGCGAAGGTTGTGTGGTGTGTGGCAAGGACAGGTGGTGTGTATGTGTCCCAGGGCCGGTGAAGGGTAGGCTACGGTCCACTCGGGAGTAGGGTGCGGTTAGCTGCGTCGGTTTTGGTGGAAGCAGAGCTGAAGAAGGGTAAGTGTCATGTGGCCAGTGAGATGAAAGTGTTTTGTGGTTTGAGATGGTGTAGGAGTGAGGGGGCGTGTGTCGGAGCGTGTGAAGGTGTTTGATGCGTTGTGTTGGTTGTGAGGTGGAGAGGCTGTGTGTGCTGAGAGTGCAGGTTGTGTGTTTGGATCCCCATGGCTAAGTGCAGAGATGAGGCAAGGGAAGCCCTGAGAGGCGTCCCGATGGTGCCCAAGTTTGAGCGATAGGTGTCGTTGGGTTGGATGGAGCCGTGGAGTGGGTGCCCTTGTCCCCGTCCGTGGGTTTTGAGTTGATTTGAGTGTGGCCATTGTGTTTTCCGAAGGCCCCTCCCTTTTGAGTTTGGGTGAGCCCATTGCATTGCCTGTCCTCTGGGCATGCCCGAAGAAGTCTCCGCCCCGAAAAGTTCCCTCCGTTAGCAATCCCGCCCAAAGTCCTTTAAAAGCCGGGGACTGCCCTGACTGGTTTGTGTAGGCATTCCGGCTGAGCCACGCCGTGTGCGGCTGGTGGAATCAACTTTTCATGCGTCCGCAGTCTGTCCTGGTGCGTTCTTCGTGGGGCAACCTACGGAGCAGTTGTCGGCTGAGGTAAGTGGTTGAGTTGTGTGGTGATTTTGTTGTCCCCTTGGTGTGGGAGTGGGTGCGTGTATTGTTTGTGGGTGCTTCCTTGTGCAGGCGGTGGCGTTTTTGGAGTGTGGTTTGAGTGGGTCATGAGGGAGAGGTGTTTTTGGACGAGTGTCTGATGTGGGTGTGTGGTGGAGCATGTAGGTGAGCGGTGTGTGCCGTGTTGGTGTCCAAGTGTGTTTCTGAGCCCCCGAGGATGTTGTCGGTCTGTGAGTCTGTGGCCACGGGTCCTTCCTTGTGCGTGTGCAAGTGTTGTTAATGTAGTAGAATGGTAAGAGCGTGTGATGATCCTCTCCTAAAAGGTCTTTCATCCTTCGGGTTTTTTTTTCTGGTTTTCCATCCCTGTGTCCCTCCATCCCTGCCTGTGTTTGCAACATGTTCCGTGTGAGAAGGTTGAGGGAAGGCCGATGTCCCTGCTGGCTGTTGGCTGTGATGGAAGCGGCCAGGTGGGTGCCATTGTAGTGTCCTTGGAGCAATAGGTTTTGATGTGGGAGGGAGGGAGGGAGGGAGGGAGGAAGGAAGGGGAGCAGAGAAAGAAAGATGGATGTGAGAGATTGTTGAATTGTCATTGTGAATTTTCTAGAGTTGTGTTGAGTGTTGCATGTGTTTGTTAGAAAGTAAGATGAATGTGAGAGATAGTTGAATTGTCATTGTGAATTTTCTAGACTTGTGCTGAGTGTTGCATGTGTTTGTTTTTAATGGTTGTAGGTGGGAGCCCTTGGTCCGATGCAGGTCGTGTGTGTTTGTGTGAGTCTGTGTGGGGTCCTCCTGGCATGGTGGGTGTGGGGAAGATGGGTGTTGGTCTGTGTGTGCTGTGATCCTTGGTCATGTGGTATTTTGATGGTCGTCCTCTGGTGCCATTGTTTGAACAGGACTCGTGTGGGCAGCTGTTGGAGGGAGCCGTGACGGACCGGTGGAGGTGGTGGTGAGTTGTGACAGCCGTGTGCCGGGTGTTGTGCAGGTGTGTGAGGCTCCCCCCCCCCCCCCCCCCCCCAGTGTGTGTGGGGTGGTTTGGGTTCCTTCCCGGTGTGTGTGGTGAAGGCTGCCGTAGAAATGTTTGTTGCTTCTTTTTTTCAGGGCAAGTCATGTATTGAAGGTGGAGGTTCCGGTTTGGCCATCCATGTGAGGTCGTTGTGCTTTGGAGCTTCCGTGTGCAGTGACCCAGCATGTCCTTGGGTGGATGTCTTTCTGCCGTGAAGAGGTAAGAAGGTGTTATGGTTCAGAAGGGTGAGAGTCGGTTCAAGTGACATGAGGTTTAGAGAGCAGGAGCGTTTGGTGAGTTGGCTATGTCGTGTTGTAGAAGACTTGAGCGTCATAGTATTGTTGTGGAGCCACATTTGCGAGAATAGGACCACCTACTCCAATGAGGTCTTCAAGAGCAAGCTAGGATTTATTGAGTTGGCCAGCGGCTACAGTGACAGCACCCTGCCGAAGCAGGCTGAACTGCAGTGCCGACTCTAGGAGTTACAGTTTATTCTTAAATTCTGTGGAGGCCTAGAGAAAAATGTGTCTTTGAAATTCTGGGCCCCCACTATGGAGGAAACTCTGTTTATTTATACTTTTTGCAGTCCTTTGTGTCCCAAATTTGGGATGAGACTTCCGGGCCTTCGGAGAAAGAAGGCCTGCGTGCTGGGAAGGGGCGATGAGACCCTATGTGAAGGCCTGGCCTGATGTGAGTACCTTCCTATGTATGTGTTTTAGGAACAGACAGCACAGCATGACCCGTCTGGCCAAAGCACCAGATCTGCAGCCCAGCACAGTATGTGTGGAAGGATTTTTCTGAGCGAGCATCTGAAAGAGTGAAAGGTGAGCCCATGAGGATGTGTTTTGTGTTTTTCTCAGAAAGGCTGTGTCCTGTAGTGTTGAGTGATTCTAATTCCGTGTACGTGTTTGTCGATGTGCATGTGTCCCATGTCGATCCTGTAAAGCATTGCCGTTCCTTTTTGTAGGTGAAAAGGAAGCAGGGACGTGTTTATGTTGGATGTGCCAGAGCAGGAGGTTTCGATGGCGGTTTGTTTCGAGTCTGTGCCGCTCGTGCCTTGCGTGTGGTACCGAATCGGATCCCGTGTGTGGAGTGTTGTAGGGGATGGAGAGGCTGGGGCACGGAGGCCCATGTAGTCCCCCCCAAGTTTTGCCATATGCAGTGAAAGTAGGGAATCCTGGAAGTTGGCTTTTTGTTTGTTGAGTTTGGACAGATAGATAGGATTCTTTTGTGTGTGTGTGTGTGTGTGTGTGAGTGATGTTTCATGTGTTGGCACTGATGTTGTGTGAATTGGTGAAGCCACTTAGTATTTGTGAAGAAGATTGGCATGTTGTGCTTGGATCCCTTCGGTTCCTCTCTGTTGAGCTGGTTCACGGGGAAGATGGTGTGTGTTTTGATCTTTGAGGATTGTGGTGGTCCAGCCTAAGAGTGTGTCGTCCACCTCCTGGGTGAGCGTGGACCTTATTATCGCTGGCAGGTCATACATTCCCGTGTGTTAGGCGTAGGCGGTGTTTTGTGTCCTTTGTTCCCTGGGTCCTGACAGGTGTAGGCAGTGGACCTTATTTGGAAGTGAAAGGAAACATCCATGTTGTGTGGCATGCCCATGTGCAAGAAAGCGCTGCCCGGATGGGTTGTATTTTCAGTGGAGCCTCCGTGTGCCTGTGTTGCGTGTGAGTCCTCGGTCCCCTGCAGCGGATGCAGGGTGCCATGGAACAGGAGCGTTCGGCCCGTTCCCTTTGGCAGTATTTTGGAAGCACAGGCCAGGGTCTGACATGTGGTATGTACGTGGGTCATCCCAAGCGAGTTTTTCACCTAAGTAGTTGCTAAAGGAAAAGTATCCCCACGGTATGTTGTGGATTTGCTGTGGGACTAGGGGTTGCGAAAGGCTGTCTGTTTTGCAGGGCTTCCCGTCACATGGGGCAGGAGGGCAAGGGAGTTTCGGACGGGAAAGGAAGGTTGAAGGACAGTGCAGGATGTGAAAGGCCTTTGGGGGAAGCAGGCTCGGGGAGGGCCCTTGCCAGGAAGGGTTTGTGATTGTTTTTTCCGCAGCATCCTTGTTTCTTGTGGAGTGTTGGGTGGTGTTTGAGGGAAGGAGTCCCGTGTTGGAGTGAGAGCAAGTGTGTGACGAAGGGAGGGTCAGGCCATGTGAAGAGCGGTGTTTGTGCTTGGAGCTAGGGGAGTCACGCGAGACCATTTTTCTTGCTTGTGTTAGGAATGTGTATTTTCTCGTCGTCGTCGTCGTCGTCATGCAATCTATTTGTCAAGTTTTCTGGTGGAGTGGGCTATCCACATGGGTTTCTTGTCTATTCAGTTTTCTTTAGCATCCATCTTTTCTATTTAAGAAGACAAAGTGCCTTTTCGAGTGTCCTAAAAGCTGTCCATGTAGGTTTTTTGCAGAGCATGGCTTTTTTGTGCTGTTTCTTTTGAGGAGTGCATGTCTGTCCTCCTTCTGTGGTGTGTGAACGAACGGTCTGTTGTCCGTGACCGGTTCCTTGTGAAAGCCGCAGCGGTTGTTGAGCTCCCAGGTTTTGGGGGGAGTGTGATGGATAGTGATGACCGCCGTTTTTAAGTGTCTGGGGATGTGTGTTGCATGGATGTCCCCGAATGAAAGAATGTGGAACGATGTTGATGTCCTTGTTCAGATGGCTTTATTTTGCCATGGTTTTTTCTGCCACTCATCCGTGCATATTGTTTGTCAAAATGCACAGTGTGTGTCCTAAGGCCGTGGTATCCATGGGAACTCTATGGACCTTGGGTAGAATGACTTTGAAAGAGGGGAATGTCCATTGAAAAGCAGGGAGGGTGAGAGGCTGAATGGGATGGTCTGATTTTGGTGATCTCTATCATGTCAGGTTTTTCAATGAAACTGTATTGTTTTGGTTGTTTTACAGAGAGGAATGGAGAGGGAGAGGCACGGGATGAAGAGGTTGAACCATGGATCATCTACCTTCTTCACAGCTTGAACTGGCGACGGCTGTGCCTACCTGAAAGGTACCCATCTTTGGCTGTCATGGAACCTGGGGTATTTGATGGTGCAGGCTGATGCTCTGTCCAGTGATCCAGAGCGGTGTGGTGGCCATGGCAGCTTTTGAAGTGGCATGGGCATGTTTTTGAACTTGAGCGATTTAGAGATGAAGTCCATGTGCATTGGTTTTGGGAATTGTAAGTTAGCCAAGGATGTGTGTGAATGTCTAAAGGATGGATGAGCGTTGCCGTTGTAGAATTGTGCAGCTGAGAGAAACGGAGAGAATGAATAGAGGCATGACGGATGAGTGTGTAGCGGAGTGAGTCTGTCATGGGTCATGGCCTGAAGATGTTTTTTCCGTGTCCAGTGTTCCTCCTTGTTGACATGAGTGGCGTGTGGACTGAAGAGTCTTGTGTTTTAAACGGGCGTGGTGCACATCTCCATGCTGTAGGTGTGATCTTTGTGCCCGTGTGTGTCCCATGCAGCAGAAGAGGCAAGGTCATCCATAGGTGTGGTTTTCTTCCATGGACCTGTTTTTCTCTCTCTGTTGCCCTTGTGTTGTGCTGTCAAGGTGCATGGGAAGCCATCGTCTTGAGCTTTGAAAGAAAAGATAGACGTTTGTAGAACATGTGCATGTGTGTATTTTTAAAAGAATGGTTATTTTTTTTCCCATGAAAAAAATATTATTTAAAGGAAATATTGTTGATTGAAAGTGTTTTGGTGGTATGACATGTGGACTAGATGGAAAGATTATGGAGGAGGAGGAGGAGGAGGAGGAGGAGGAGGAGGCGGAGTAAGCAGGTGAGTGCCCCGCATGTGTGGTTTTGGAGCGTGAGGAGGTCCTATTGTCTAGCAACTCATGTGAGCAGTGGCTTGCACGCATTCTTTGTGTCAGATTCCTGTTATTTTGAGGCTGCCATGTGTTTTTTTTTAGGGGTGCCTGCCTGCCGTTCCCATGTGTGTCCTCTACTGTTCCAATCTGTGTCACGGCCAGCCATGGGAGTTTTGTGTGTGTGTGTGCTCCAGCATCTGTTGGTTGTATGTCACCTGGCACCTTAGAGGAGTGGAGTGTTTCGGTCTTGTTCTTGGGTGTGCATGTCAGCGTTGGAGAGTGTGTTGTCGGAGTCACGCATTGCACTGCAGAGAGGGTCCGTCTGTCCACTTGTGCCCGGTGATAGCCACCTGCAGGGAAGCCTGTTGATTGTGGTCTGATGATCGTCAGGTAAGGGCAGAGTGTTTCTGTCATCTTGCTGAAAACATGGATGTAGAAGAGAGCATGTCTGTGTTGCCTGGGTTCCTTTCCTGTTGTCGCTTCTTGAAGGTTTTGGAAGTGTGGCCACAGTGAGAGGTCGACGTAGAGGAGCTATGGATAGCAGGAAAGTGTCATAGAATACCCATTGTTTGAAAGGTCATGGCTTGGGGACCCAGTGTGATGGTTGTCTTTGTGACTTGAGAGGGACATTCCTTGGTTGGGTGTAGAATCTCCCAGAAGATGTAGGAAGGAAGATGTGTAGGCGATGGCACCTCAGTAGGAAACAATCATCGGCAGATGGGTGGCAGGGATGGGGGCCGTTGCCCCTGTCAGGGAAACGTTGCTGAGACTGACATTTGGGTACGTAGGTTTGTGTTTTCCCAGAAACTGTTGCTTAGCTGTGAAAAGCCATCGTCCTTTAAACGAGTCCAGGCTAGGCAGCCCTGAAGTGTGCCACGTCATCCTCTTAGGTGAAGTCAGTTCCAAAGGTATCGTCCTCTTGCAGAAGAGGTCCTTGTCGCACCCAGGATGTGAAAGCAGGTTTAAGTGTTGTAGTCCATTTTGAAGTCCATGGTAGTGATATTTGATAACTTGTAGGGGTATAGAGTAGGCTATAGTGTTTGGGGTATCCCTGAGGTTTGTATTTCTTTGGAGCCTCTTGAACTCCATGTGTTGGGTGGGTGGGTGGTTGAGTGAGTGAGTGAGGGAGTGAGTGAGGGAGTGGGTGGGTGGTTGCTGGCGGGTAGGGGTAAGGAATGTTTTTTCTGTGGTTCAAGTCCTGTTAACATGCTGTGTATAGAGTCCAGTAATAGACATTTCTCTTTTCTAGGTCTGTGTGCCTTTCCTCGTGGCCATGTTGTCACGATTGAGGTTGCTGTTGTTGTGGAGGGATCTGTGCCTTGTTTTGGAGGGACCTGTGCCCCTGCCCTCACCTGGCCAGCGTGGAACGACGTGTGCTGTGCTTGTGATGCCCCAGGGTCTCCTCATGGTGTGGCTTCTTAGAGAAGGGAAGCTGTGACTGTGTGTGCTCACCCCCATGTATCTGTGTAGTTTG